TAAAGACTGGTTCATCCCAAAGATCCAGTCCCCCGGCACAAACAGAGCAATGTTGTGTATGTTGTTCAGTGTCAGGAGGGTGATCAGTCTTACATCGGGGAAACTAAACAGCCACTGGCCAAAAGGATGGACCAGCACAGAAGATCAACATCATCAGGCCAGGACTCTGAGGTCTACACTCATCTCCAGGCCAGCGGTCACTCTTTCAGGGATGAAGATGTTCACATCCTGGACAGAGAGGAACGATGGTTTGAGAGAGGAGTAAAGGAGGCCATCTTTGTGAAAAGAAACCGTCCATCGTTAAACAGGGGCGGAGCCTCCAGGTTCAACTGTCCCCCTCTTACAATGCTGTGATTGCTAGTATCATTCAGCCCTCTGTGAACAGTAAACAGCCATCAGGTGCTAATGATCCATTGTTAGGCTGATGGTCCTTCTTGAGCATGTGAGCAGCTGGTTTTGGTTGTCAGCAGCAAAACTGGTTGATCCACCCTGAGACGGTGCTATTTAAGAGACTGAGCTGAATACAGCTCCTCAGACTGAGGAAGTCTCTCGGATGAGAGACGAAACGTTTCTAGATTTTGTTGTTGTTTTGTTTTGTTTTATTTTTTTGAATGTCCAGAGGACCAGATTGAACTTTTTTTTAGATTTTTCTACCTGGATTTTTGAGCAGCATCAAGATATCAAGATGAGAACATTAATGTTAATGTGATGAGAACTTCATGGGCCTCAGAAGTCCGTTGAGCTAAGAACCAACTTCTAATGAGGACCACAACCAGCCACAGAACCAGCAGCGTGAAAGTAAAACCTCAAACGGTTTAAGGACTTCAACTGGTCCCGTGTGGTCTGAACGTACTTAATGTAGCACATGAAGGAAACGCACCTCTCTCCGTCATGAACCATTTGGCAGTTGCTCCTCTAATTTCTGCAAAAACATTTATCCAAAGCACCGAGGTGAACATTAGTTTTTATGGTAAATTTATCTCAACGGACGTTGGAGTGAGGTGAGCTGCGCTCAGCTGCGGTTTGTTAACAAAACAAGTGGAACATTGTTTCCAACCTGTGGGCGTCACACGATGACTGGCCCGATTGTGCAGCCCTGCTCTGCCTTGTTGACAGGAATTTCTGAGGCCGTCGTTGGAGTCGAGGTTTCTCCAGGTCAATCTTCCACCTTGGCCTCTTTATAATGAGAACCGGTCCACTGGGACCACTTCTGGTTTCCATCTTTGGAGTTATCCCGTCCTCCCCTCTGAGCTTCCAGAGAATATGAAGGCCAGAAACAAGACAAGCGACTCAACTCTGACTGAGCAGCGAGAATCAGATGAACGGATTTGTTGTGTCAGCTTTGCAAGAAAAGCAGCAGAAAGATCAACCTGACTTCACTCCAACCTCCACGAGAAGACCCAACGTCAGCTGCTTGTCCAAACAATCGAGACGTTTCACATCTGCGCTTCACTCAGAGGGTTAAACTCATGAACGTGTGTCAACTATTTGTTTTGGATTTGACAAAATGCTGGTATTTCCTGACCGTTTGTGTCAGGAATACTTACAGTCGGTTGCACAACAGGCAACCTAAAGTTCTGTTTTAAAGCTACAGATGTTTGGGCTCCACTCCGCTCAACAACCAGACTGTCATCAGGTCTGGATGGAGCTGTTCAGGTAAAAGCAGTAATTATCCTCACAGGGAGGGTTTTCATTACTCATCTTCATACTTCAGTTTTTTTAAACCTGCTCTGGGGTTTTCCACTGAACTGTCGGGTGAACTGTCGGGACTTTGATCCACTTGCGGGGAACTTGTCTCGTCTGCTTTGACATCTGGAGTGGTCGGACGCCTCGTCTCAGCCAGCTGTCCTTGTTTACAGATGTTCTGAGGTCTCTGAGGAGATTTAGAGATGTTCAACAGAAACCAGATAGTCATCTGCAAATGAATTTATTCCATACAAAGTGGAGATGTTGCTGTCTGCATTCAGACAGGATGCAGTGCCGTGTGAGTGTTTGGGGAACCGGCCTTCACCCTTTACCGCTTCTCAGTCAAACGATCGAGTCTACGAGTCAAATGCTTTGATGCTTTTCACTTGAACAATTAAGAAAACTGTAGATAAAACTAGTAAAACAGATGCTAAATCCAAGAAATCAAAGCAGGTGCTCTTCCTGGTCAAGCTCAATGTTTTGATGTATGAACATTTAAAATAAACCTTTTTCTTCTTTCAGCTGTTCCTTCTTCAAGGGTCTCCACAAAAAGTCATCCTCCTCTGTCTCACTCTGTCCTTTGTGTCCTCTGTCCTCACTCCAACTACCTCCATGTCCTCTCTAACTGCATCCATATATCTCCTCTGTCTTTTCCCTGGCAGCTGCATTTCTAACATCTTTCTACCAATATACCCACTGTCCCTCCTCTGGACATGTCCAAACCACTGTCCCTCCTCTGGACGTGTCCAAACCACTGTCCCTCCTGTGGACATGTCCAAACCACTGTCCCTCCTCTGGACATGTCCAAACCACTGTCCCTCCTCTGGACATGTCCAAACCACTGTCCCTCCTCTGGACGTGTCCAAACCACCGTCCCTCCTTTGGACATGTCCAAACCATCTCAGTGTGTCCTCTCTAACTTTATCTCCCAGTTGTTCAACCTGTGCTGTACCTCTGATGATCTCATTCCTGATCTTCTCCTTGTCTCTCCTAAGGAGAACCTCAACATCTTCATTTCTGACAACGCTATGGGGCAACTAAAAACAGGAAACCAGTGTGAATGCTGATTCAGCATTACCATAAATAAACAGAAGAAGAAGAAGACATGATCCGTCAGCTGTTCGGCGCTGAATAAAGTTCAGCTTCACTTTGTGTTTAAAGGCTCCGACAGTCCAGCCGACGGTGACCCGTCCTCCTCACTCGAAACAGCTGATTTATGTCCGGTCCTGGACACTTGTGGCTGGAATTCAGGGAATGCGCCCCCCACCTCCCACCCCCTCCTCTGCCGGTCCCGTTCACATGCAAACAAGTGGAGCAGGCGCCTGAGCGGGCAGATGAAGGCCCAGCGATGCTCCCACAGGGGCAGGGAGGCAGAATGTGAGGAATGTCCAACATCTGCAGCTCTGTTTGTTTACTGAGTGGAATAACTTTTAATATTTGGAGTCATTTATTAGTCCTGACATACTGACACCAACAAAGTTTATGAAAAATGACTTTATTTGTGTTATATCTTACAAAACACAGCAATGCACGTGTTCTGCTGCTGAACAGCAAATCAGTCGATGAGCGGTCGAAACAAAAGAAGTGCTTCACTCAAACTCAGAACAAGCTGATAAAGTCTGACACGGTGCGTTAAAGCAACGTAACCCAGAGGACAACGTGGGAACACAAACTCATGATGTGACAAATTTACAAAAATTACAAACCAGCGGTTGCGATGAAGTTGAAGCTGAAAAGCTCATGCACCTCAGAAACATGCTGCAAACAAAACCAAGAGGAGCCGAGTCCAAAGAAGTTTTATTAAAAAAGCACGAGCAGCTTTTGATTTTCTAGCTGGTCTTCCTCTCAATTATATCCAAACACCAGTTCGATCACTTCAGAGTTCCTCTTCCCTCGTGGTTATAGGTTCGTACAGTCACATGGTTGTATAGCATTGCCATTTTGAGGGACCTAAATCATGTGAACTGCAGTAGAAAATACCTAAATGCAATAAAAAAAAAAAAAACAGCCAGAAAAGAGGAACCTGTTATTGAAACGTCTGTCTCTGTCCTCAGGACAATGATAAATATATTTATCTGCTCTCACGGTTTATTACAGGAAATATTTGTTGTCACTGAAGAAAATCCAGGGTCCAGTATAAATTTAGGAACTGCTCAATCAGTTAAATATTATAAGTTCAAACGTATTATGTTCAGAAACGGTTCTACTAGCATCAAGCTAACTTAAAGCCCATACTTTTAATAAATTCTTTAAATTTAAATAATATATATATAACCAGGTGCTTCAGGTAAGTAGTAACAGATGTGCTTCCATCAGGAGTGCAACGAGACGCTCGCTCCACAGGACGGGATGAGACAAGATGCTGGGTTCATGAGAAAAGTCTTTTTTTAATTTCATTTTTTAATTTTGCCCAAAACTCAACTGAAAAACTGATCAAAGCCCAAACTTTTTAATATTTTTCCAAAACATAAATGCATTTGTCATGTTTTTCACATTTCTTATGACAAAATATACCTACAGAAATGTGAAATTACCTTTATCATTCTATATTATCTGTCAAAATAAAGCTATTTTTTAATTGAAAGACTTTCATTCACGTCTTTTGTCTTGTAACCTTTTTTTTCTGGTTTCTGATGAAAACATTTTGCCCAAAACAACTAGAACATTCTACATTTAAAAACATTTCATGTTCAAATTAAAGGAGAACACCACAAAAATATTCAGGATACAAGAAATGTAGCATTTTGTCTGAGAGTCTGCATCGTAGAAATTATCAGGACATTAGAGTGAAACTCTTTTGTGTGCTTTTATTGTTTTTTATCACAAAGAAATGTTGAATATTCTAACGAAGAAAGAGATGAATAAACACTGTGAGGAGAGCAAAGGGACTCCATCTACCTCAAAGATTCCCTTCAACTAAAACAAACTTTATTTCCTCTGCTTCAGAATTGATGAAGCACTGCATGAACTCAGCATTAAGTTTGTTCTGTTTGAAATAAATGATGGACAGAGACCCTTCCTCTCAGCACGTAGCTGCAGAGGAAAGCTGCATTCACCCACAGGTTGAGTTATGGGTGCCGCTTAGGTCCTAGTGCCTGACATGTTTATATTGGCGCCACAAAAATAATTTGAACTGGTGCAGAGATATTCAGTAATATTTTATCCAAACTAAAACAAGACAGTTCAGGAATTTTTTTCATTTTGATGGGAAATCTTGTGATAAGTTTCTCCCGCCAGATCTTGTTACACCTGTACTTCTGCTCTTTCTTTGGAGTTGTTTTGTATGCTGATGATGTCATTTTGTATGGGCTCATTGTTTTAGATACTCAACGCACACTGCACAGACCCGACCTTAAAGCCTGGAGGAAGTTGATCAAGTTAATCATAGGACATGACTAGAGATGATCGTTTATGAACTAAAATGTTTTTTAAAAAGATTGCTAATATGGAACTTGCAGAGTTTCTAATCGTGTATTCACAAGTTAGTCCCTCTAAATGGCTGTCATCTAACTGGGTGTGCGGCGATCTGTTGACAGATATATAATAATAATAATAATAATAATAATAATAATAATAATACTTCACTTTAATGCAGCTTAAGGCCTTCTCTTTGCTGCGGTTTTATCCATGATGTTGAGCACATCGTCCAGGATGGACGGGCCCAGGTCCAGCTCGAGGGAGAGGAGCGACTCGGTGATCTGGGTGAGGGAATCCTGCGATGTGCTCTTCTCTTTGGAGAGCTCTAGCTCAAACTCCTCCACCCCACTGTCCCTGTCCACCCAGTCCTTATTGCACTTGGTGAGCTCCTGCTTGAAGCCTAGGAAAATGTCATTGCTGAAGTGTCCGTTTCCGTAGCAGTTTTTGTTTCCGTTACAGTTACCGTATCCGTTGAAACTCCGGTTGTCGTTGCAGATCTTGCTTTGAAAGTCCCCGTTACCGCTAAAGATGCTGAAGCTGCTCTTGTTCGTGCTTCCGTTGGCCTTACAGATGCTGTTGCTGTGATTGCTGATGAAAAATGGCGATGGCTGGTCAAATCCGTTTAACTTGTTGGCTCTGGCGATGGCTTTATCCGTGTTTTCCAGCAGATCCAAGAGGACGTCTGGTTTTGAGGGGATATCTTTGAAGGGGGACGACGGCTCGCTGCCGAAGATGTTCATGGAGCGCAACAGAGCGTCCACCTGCAGGATCTCCACGTCCTCCGGGCTGTCACCCTTTGAAGGAGACGAAGGTCCCATGATGTCTTCCAGGGGTTCTGGAGGCAAAACGGAGGAGGAGATCAGTGGCAGCGTGAGAGCCTGGCCGCCTCCTATGGGTGGGAGCGAGATGGCGTTTTTGAGTACTGGTGAGGGCGTCTCTGCAAAGGAAGTGTCCCCTGAGCTGTTTGACTGCAGGAACTCAGACTGGATGTCGTATTGAGGATGAACGTCCCCCTTTCCAGGCAGGAGCTCATACATCCCCTGAAGAAAGGACATGTCTCCAAAGGCGTCTTTCTCCCCGCCCCTGCCGATGTGGATGGTGTGGCGAAAGTCCCCAAGCGGCGGACTGATCATGTCAGGGGACAAAATATCTCTGAGGCGACATTTTTTGCCCTTCTTACTGTTGATGGGCTTCAGATATATGGGAGCTTTAGCTGGCATGGCTGTTTCTGTCAGAAACGCAGGACGGAACGGTCCAAACTGTTCTGTCAGGTCTGAAAGGTGCAGCACCCCTGGGGAGGAGACTGAGTTACGTTCTCAGAAACATGCTGCTGCTCAACAGGACGCCGTCTGGATCTGGCTTTCTAAGCAGGGCGGGTTTTCTGAAATCAGAGACAAAAACAAAACCAACTCAGCATTTATCTGAAACAAGAAGAAACAGTTCCCTGATATTTATTATCGCCCGGTCCCACGAATCACTGGACGGGCTTAAATGGATGAAACAACTCCAGGAGGGAACCACAGCTGATCAACATTAGCCAACACAAAAATGGCTGTAACCCAGTCCGTTTCAGGCCTTTGGTATTTTTCATGAAAACGTCCACTGGTATCTTTAGACAAGAAACAAAAGGATGAAAGAAAGATGGCCGTCGATGCGTCCTGGACACAAACGTCTGAATCTTCCAAGAAGTCAGAAATTCTTCTGCTCATCTTTGGAGCGTAACGACGAGAGCGGGAGGATCTTCTGTTCACCAGAGCCTCCTCTGGCCTCCGATGTGCTAATGTGGAACAGCTGGAAGAAGAAACGCAGAAATGCTGGGGGGGTGGGGGGGGGGGGGGCTTCAGACGGATCAGAGGGGCCAGTGTGGACTCAGCTACTGCGCCGACACACTGAGATGGAAGGAGATTAACCACAGGGGGAGGGAGGGAGTTCACTGAGACTGTGATAAAGTGAGGACACAAAGAGTAATTAAAGGGATAGTCTGGTCATTTTTAAAGTGAAGTTTTATTAAATATTCACCGTATAGAGTTGAGCGACTGGACGAATGCACTGACCTCCTTTAACAGGTCTCTCTTACAAACGATGGCGTTTCAACGAGACGGTTCAAATGATGGAAATGAAAAGAAACTGGAGTCCATCAGTCGGTGGACGTTTTTTTAAAGGACAACATTTTTTTAAACTTTACCTCGTGAGAGTTTGGACTTTCAAACAACAAAGAATTCAAATCCAAACTTATCGACTTTGTTGTAAAATTCAGCAAGCGCGGATTCAGACACCTCGGATGACTGTTTGTCAGGAAAGCAACAAATGTTGCAACTTTTTTCTGCTGCTACTGGAGGTTTCTGGAGTTTCTGACCTAAAACTCAACTCACGAACAACAAACGTCCAACATGTTCCTAAGAATGCCCCAAACCCACTGGAGATACAGTAAATATCGTAAGTCCAAGGTCAAACTATGAATTAATTAAACCTCATAGTTACAGTTTACCTTTCACAGTTTAATTGTTGTGGACATTCACTTGTGGCGTGCTCAGGGTAACTGGCTCACTGGACGTCAGGAAGGAGAAATATGTTTCTTTTAAGATCGACTGTTTTCATTTAAATGTTCTGTTTCAAACTCTGACCCATGTTGGCCGTGGAGGACAAACTCTGCAAGAAGATGGAGAGGACTGGTCCAGTGCTTGTGGTGGAGGGGAGGCGACAGCAGGAGTGTGTGGAGGAGCAGCAGTGAGAGGAGAGCGTGCCCTTTTATAGCCACATTTATTTATGTGAGGAGCGACAGCAGAGTCCTCTCCAAAAATAAAAGTCTAAAATGTTTGGGTCAGGAGGCATTCCTGCTGCAGCCGAGCGACTCGCCGCCTTATCAGAGCGACTTGAAGAAGATCCTGTTTATTCCTGAGGATCGTTAGCATGGGGCCTCAGAGACCGGCTCCTGTCGGGGTCTGAGTCCAAACAGGATCCAGTTTAGGATCTGCAGCTTCAGTGGAGCAGGAGCTCGGCCTGAAGGCCGCCTCCTCAGAGCCAACAAAATAAATCTGTCGCCAGTGACAGCACGCTGGTAAATTTAGCTGCTGTGATAAAAGTGGAGGCTGCAGGAGAAGTGTGAACAGTTCGAGGGCTGCTGCGAGCGTTTCTGCCGGGTGGCGCAGACTTTGAGTGCACGTGTGCGACAGAGAAGGTGTTTGTTTGCTGAAGGTGTTGGAAACACGGTGACCATGAGGAGTTTAGCTGCTGAGTTTGTTCGAGGCGAAGAAGATTCGGCTGCTTCACCGTCGTCCTGTTTCTTCTGTGGGCTTTTAAAAGCTAACTGCACACTTTGTGCTATTTTAGCTGTTTTTGTTTCCAAACATTCAGCTCATTCAGGAGCTGTGAGCTGTGTTTTTTATAATCTTGTTTCATTTTAAAATATTTAATTTAATTCATAAATATTTTCCCCATAGAAACGCACTGAAGTCTCTTCAACTCCTTCAAAACTTCTGTTTGAATTCTGCATCAAGACTTCTGTTTGTGATTTCTTGTACTTTTTTTGGCTGGTCTTTTGCTAATTTTAGCCTCGGGTGGGCACAGTTTTGCTAATCAGCTAAGAGCTAAAACCAGAACTTAGTTTTTGTTTCGCAGATTAGCATTTTCTCTGTCTAAACCGTGAGCAGAATTAGCCTCCACTAAATTAGCTTTGGCCAACTTGAAGTCCACTAACTAAATTCACAAGCTTGTTCCCGTCTGTTGTGGGCGTGTCTTGAAGAGTCCTAGACACGCTATTGGCTGACTCTGTGAACACGTGACAAGACGTGATTGGTCGACGCAGCTTCACCTGGAAGGAGACAAAGAGTGTGACAGAAGGACAGTCGTCTTTTTAAATTTCGTTCAGCCTTTATTTGAACAGGTTAGTCCCATTGAGCCACGAGGACTCATTTACAAGAGAGACCTGAAATTTAATCTTAGCGGTTTAATGTTAGCTTCTGCTAATTTCTTTACCTGTTTAGTGGTTGTGTTAGCAAAGCAAATTGTTTAGTTGGCGGAATATGGGTTAGCAAAGCTAATGTTTTGGTTAGCTGTGCCCACTGATTTTAGCTTTTAGCAAACTTTGAGGTTTTAAATAAACTTTAGCTTATTTTAGCTGCTAGCTAGCCTTGACCTATTTTTAAGTTTTAGCTGGCCTTTTGCTAACTTTTAGGTTGTAACAAGCTGTGCGCTACTTTTTTATTTTAGTTGGTCTTTTGCTTTATTTAGCTTCTAGTTAGCATTTAGCTATCCTTATGCTAACATATAGCTTCTGCCAAGCCTTTTGCTACAATTAGGTTTTAACTATTTTGTTATTTTTGCCTATAGCCTTTTACTACTTTAGAATTTTAGCTAGCCTAATGCTAACATTTAGCTTCTAGAAAGCCTTTAGCTACTTTTAGGTTTAAGCTATCATTTTGCTAAGTTTAGTTATCCCTTTGTTACTTTTACATTTTAGCAAGCCTTTTGCAACTTTTAGCTAGCTAAAACTACTTTTAGCTTTAAGCTAGCCTTTTGCTACTTTTATTTTTAGCTAGTGTTTTGCCTCTTTCAGCTTTAACAACCGAGTTTTAGCTTCTTGAACATTGAAACTTTTACAGAAACTGTAAAATTGTCCAGCTTTTCCTGCATTTCAGTTTTTCTTTAGCTTCTCGTCCTCCTTCCTTCCTGACCTTTAGCTGATCCTTGAGCTCAGGTTGGTTAGGAAGCTGAAGAAGCCGAGCCGAGAGCAGCTTCCTGTGGGCTGATGACTGGAGTGAGGACCGCTCCTGATAGCAGCCGATCACTGAGCAGCGCCGCCTCCAACATGCCTGAAGGCAGCCGCCTCTTATTATCCACAGGATCTTGCTCTTCTGTCAACTTTAATGCGACTCGAGCCTCAACGTGTCCCCCACAGATGTTACATCAAAACGACCGGCTCGGCACCGTGACGTGCGCTGTTACTTTTACTGGTGTTTCCAGTTACCATGGCAACGTAATTTGCAAACAAAGACGCCATTTTTCTCATTAAAACATTGACAGAACTCTTCACAGCCTCTGACACAGTGACGTCACATGACCTGGAGGGGAGAGGTCCCTGAGCAAAACACTGATTAACTTCTGGAGCCATTTTGGTTCAAGATGGCTGCCACAGCTAGCTCAGAAATCTCTAAACTGATTATAACTCAGTCGTTCTTTGAGATGTTGAGCTGAAATTTGTTTTGATGGTAGCTGAGAGCGAACCCAACACACAGTACTGTCAAATCAAAATGTTAAAATGGCTGCAGCGTGACTGTCCCCGTCAACGTTTCTCCAGGAACCTTCTAGTTATTGATTATTGGTCTGATCTGAGGGAGCTGAAACAGCTGACTGATGTGTGCCAGAGGTTCTGGACGGGAATCTTTGCTGTGTTCGCTGCTCCTGAGAGCTGAAACAGCCTGAAGGCCGACCTTCCATCAGACTTCCTGCTGATCCGTCACTTCGGCTCAAAGAACACGAGAGGAATTTAAACAAGGAGCCGAATGTGAGGAACCCTTCAGTCTTTGATCCCTCCAGGAGGCCAAGCTTAATAAGAACTTTAGATCAGCTATTATTGATTTGTTCACACCTCTGGAGCCTCGGTGGAGCTGGTTCTGGTTGACCTGCTGACCCAGTAAATCCACCAGAACCTCTGCAGGCTCCTAATAGTCCCAACAGGTGCATTTCTGCACATTTTACAGCTGAACTTGCCTCATCTCTTTGGCTGGAACAGATCAGTCCTCTCAGGAAGGTGAGGGGTCCGGTGGCAGCTGTCCGGCTTTCCGGACCGGTCACCGGGTCAGCACCAGTGGGCGACCCGGAGCCATTTCAGGCCGAAGCTTGGCCTCATCAGTCAGTAAGTGGAGGGACAGGAATGAGGTCACCACAGAAGATAAAAATAGGAGTCAGGATGAAGCTCGTGGTCTGTCTCAGTATTTCTGGAGGTCTCGTGCGATGTCACCGTGTCACTTTATTCTGAGAGGTCGTGTCGCTTTACGGTGGTTTAAGTAAACGCTCCGGTTGGATGATGCTTTACAGCTGCTCAGGGTTTGACCTGGATTCTCCTCCAAACATCCACGGCTGAACGTCTGGACTGAGATGTCCTGCTGGGTCAGCGATCGGGGCTGCAGTTCCTCCCACTCTCTCGTTTTTTAACTTTCTGACCCTTCCTTTGACGTCTTGGCCTGGACTCGGGTCACCTGGTTGCAGCAGAGAGACCCCCTCATCGAGGCCGTCAGATAAACCTCAGAGGGTAATGGCAGCTTTACCCAACACAGTTTGCTGCATGAGAAAAACCTTAATTACAGCCTGACGTCTGAGGACCCTGCAGGGTGGAGTTGCTCACAACAGTTATCTTTGGCACAACTGTGAATCAAACGAAACGTGAATGTCAACAAATGTTTTGATTCTTGTCGACATCACAAGAAGCCGCTGTTGTAGAGAGAAGGCAGCTGAGAGGAACGAGCCTGCAGCAGCCGGGCTGCAAAGCATCGCTCTCTGAAAACAGGAGAAGGTCACGCACGTTTCCACACCTTCCTCACACACACACACACACACACGCTTGCAGCAGCAGAAATCAAACGTCCTCCTCACTCACCTGGGCTGCTCAGATTGGGAGATCTGGACCCGTCCCCAGGTCAGGTCCTGGATGAAGATGTGTCCTCGGCTCCTGGGGCTTGCTGACACCCTCCTGTCCTCCTGCTCTGCCTCGGGAACTGAACTGCAGACAACCGGGACGGCTGCCCGACAGCTGTTTGAGAATTCCTCTCCGACTCCTTTTTTCTTCTGCAGCAGTCTCCTCCTACATCTCATCTCACTCCAGCCTCCTCCTCCTCTCTCCCTTCACTTCCTCCTGCTCTTCCTCACTCGTCTCCCTCTGCAGCACCTGTGCTCGTCTCTCCTGCAGCTTCATTTTCAGGCAGTTTCAGTGAAAAATGGGTCCCATGTGTAGAAACTTCTCTTCTGGTGAGTCTTTCCTCCCACATCTGATAAAATCAGACCAGAGCTGCAGCTGGGTCTCACCAAAGAGCCTCTTCTCCCTTTTCCTTATCCGTGTGTCAGGCTCCTGTTATTTACACAACTTCCTGTGTCCTGATGCTGGTTTTTCCCTGACAGCGCTGCAGGGTGAGGCGTAATCACTGCAGAGCACTGCAGCACTGCAGCATGCGTGGGGAGATGTTTGCAGGCGGCGCACGAGCAGCTGCAGCTCGTGTCACTGCAGGGCACGGTGGACTAAAGGAAGATGTCAAGAACAAACACAAGCTGAGCCTTTTCTTCCTTAAATGTTCACATGCTTCATAAATGGGCATCGCCTCGGTAACCACAGCAGCTCAGTGATGATGTCACAGAAATTTCTACCAGTCTGTTTCTGCTGGTGCAGTCTGGGTTGAAGCAGTGGGAAGATGGTGGTGCTGCTCCACAGGGATGGTTATCACCCGCCACAGAAGGTGAAAATGTTTTTGCGTGTGTCCGTTCGTTTGCCTGTAACAAATAAAATGTTCAGCTAAAAACCACTGGACATACTTAAGCTCAATAACCCAGTTCAAGATGGCCGCCACAGCTAACTGATCTTATAAAACAGAAACGACTGTATTAAGTGCATGTATAAATCCTGAACCACACTCAGGAGTGATAACAGAGTGATAATAATGGAGTTAAGAGAGATCCTCTCTCCACTTTTAGCTTCTCTCCATTGATATAACTAGAATCTTACTTCTAACCTACAAAGCTCTCAACAACCTAGCTCCATCTTATATTACAGATCTTATTGTTCCATATTTTACTAACAGAGCACTTCACTCTCAGACTGCAGGTTTACTTGTGGTTCCTAGAGTTTCCAGCAGCAGAATGGGAGGAAGATCTTTCAGTTCTCAGGCTCCTCTCTTGTGGAACCAACTTCCAGTTTCTGTCCATGAGGCTGACACATTGTCCAGTTTGAAGACTTTCCTTCTTGATAAATCCTATAGTTAGGGTCGGCTTGGGGTTCCTGAGCTGTCCCTGCTGCTATAGGCTTAGACTGCTGGAGGACAAACTGACCACATGTCCTGCTTCTGTCTTTACCTGCTCTACTCTTCGTGTTTGTATTTATTTTTATCTTAACATGTTTTTTGTCTTTCCTCCTATAGAAAGTTCACCTGAACCTGTCATTCTGTGTTTGTCTGTTTCTACTTCCTGTCCTCTCTGTTCCTACTTCCTGTCCTCTCT